TGAACATGTTCCACCCACTCTCTTGAAGGCTCCCCAGTGGGACGGAGCCCCGGCTGCCCACAGTGGTGGCCAGCTCATTAATGCCCCTGTGTGGACATGTCCCTTCCCCATCTCATGCCTCTTCCTCTCCAGTCAGGAGACAAAAACCACACCAGTGGTTTGAACAGAGAGAATTTAATACAAAGCACCATCAAATTTGTATAAACCATTGTTACCCAGTTAATTTAAAAAGCAAAAGAAAATACAAGTATCACGTAGACCAGAAAGTTCAACATTTGCGGGAGCTGGGGGCTCACACCATGAAGATGCCCTCCTGGCCTGGGCAGGATCCTAAAGCATGCATGGCAGCCCCGCCTGCCTCACCTGCCCACAGTGCCGGAGGTGGAACATGAGTGCACGTGTTAGGACCCGAAAGATGGTGAGTTAGACCTGGCCGGGTGAAGCCAGAGGACACTCAGGTGGAGGTCTGTAGTGGCCCCGATGAGCACATCGGTCATCTGACCTGGGTACAGGTACAGGAGGGCAAAAGACTAAAGAAACCACCCAGCAGCTGATTCACTCCCAGGTTTCCCTCAGGACCGCTGGCACTCTCTCGCAGAAACCCATGCAATTCTTTCCCGGTAAAACCAGTGCTCACAGGCCTTAGGGTTCTCCGCAAGCAGGTGGTGTGGGGCTGGTCATGGAATACAAGTGCCTAGTGGACCACTTCTGGTCAACAGGACTTCAAGAAGCAGCTAGCTACCACCTATGAGTTGGAATTAATATAACTCAGAAGTCTCAGAGGTGGGAGCGTGCTGGGACCCAGACCAAGCAGGGGCATCAGCAGGCTCGTGCAGGCATCTCTGCAGAGACCGCGACGAGGCTGGTCCTGCAAGTGGCGGGAAAACAGAAAACTGGACGCAGCTGCTGCTGCAGGAAGAAATTGCCACCACAGGGTGAAGAAGCTCTCAGTCTGTTTGGGCTGCTGTAACAGAATGTCATAGATTGGGTACGTTATAAACCACACCAATTTACCTCTCACTGTTCTGGAGGCTGGGAAATCTGAAATCAAGGTGCCAGCAAATTCAGCATCTGGCGAAGACCCACTTCCTGGTTCATAGATAGCACCTCCTCTCTCGGAACTCACATGCTAGAAGGGGTGAGGGGAGTCTCTGGGATCTCTTTCATAAGGGCACCAATCTGGTTCACGTGGGCTCTGCCCTATGACCTAATCACCTCCCAAAGGCCCCACTTCCTAACACCTTCACCTTGGGGGTAAGGGCTTCAACATATGAATTTGCAGGGGATATAAACATTCAGACCATAGGATTGCTGGGGTGGTGTGGACAAGAGCAGAAAGCAAAGCAAAGGGAAGGAGTGGCTTCTCCCTCCTCCAGCCTTTCAGCCTAGCCCCAGCTCCCCTCTAACAGCACCTCCCAGGGAGCAGCCGGCTAGGCAGGAGCTGGGGTAGAGAGGGACAGGTTTGAAGCCAGAGACAGGAGCGTACTAACTAGCACGCCAAGCTTCCGGCAACACCACCCTAACAAACCACCTGCACCCAAGACCTTTCTCAGAGTCAGCTCTGGGGGCAACCCAACTTAATCCAAACCTCCTTAAGTTATCTATTGATACCAAACCTTATTAATTAGCGTTATCTTTGGGGTCTTTGGGGTTACAAGCAAAGAAAACAACTCTAACTAGTGGAAACAAGGAAGCAGTATGTCAAAAGCCCTCAGGCCTGAAGAACCAGCCAACACCATCCTAAAAGAAAGACGGTGATTGGAGCAAGGCTGGGGACCCAGAAACACAGCAAGGATTGGTAGGTGACCTTGCCAGAACGCCCCCCACGGGAGACAAGTGCCAGCACTTGCAGCCTTAGCTATATTGGACTCAGATATCTAATTCCATTGAGACTGGATCTGATTGGGCTGGTCTGGGTCACTGGCCCACCCTGAGGCCAGAGGAAGGCAGAATATCTTGATACATTAAGCCGTTTCCAGTGTGGGAAGAGCGGCTACTCAATACAAAATCAGAGCTGTCGCCTGAGGAACAGGAGGTGGGAGTGGCAGATGTTAACCTGCTGCCTTATGTGAAAGGAAGCGGCTATATATTGAGGAGAAGGAAATCGAGACAGGAAAAGGAGGCCAGTGCAGGGGGCATTGATAAGTGCTTTTCTTCACGGGCATCTGAGACTCAAACCCACTGGGGATCTCCAAGAGAATGTGTAGAATATGCCTAAAAGTTACCCTAACAGCGGAGTGAGAGAGCTAGGGTGAGACACCTGCTCCTCCAGGTTCCGCCCACCCCTGATTGAGGGCTGCTCCCGGGAGCATGAATTCCCCAGGACAACGGGTCTGCCCAGCGTGTGGACCAAGCATGTGCCTGTGGCCACAGGAAACTCTAAGGCAGAGTCACGTGTGCCTGCCGTGAGAAGCTTGAGTACAGCCATGAACCAGAACAGCGAGAGTTGGGGGATCTGGTGAGACACCAGGTGGCTGATACAACAGCAGTGATGGGTCATTGACTCAAGTTCTGGGAAGAAGAGTGGGGCAGGGGCCGCATAGCTGCTGTATGGAGCCGGCAGCCTGGGAGAGTCTTGCTCCCAACAGACCTGAAGCTGCCTCAGGGAAGACAAGTTCGAGACCCTGCCATGGATGCTATCAGAAGGCCTGCTCTGAGCCCACGGTACTAACAAGCAACTCTTCATAAAACCAAAGGTTTTGTGTGTATTTCAAAGACCCTGGGGAGAGAGAAATGCAGGAAATAAACCCATCCTGCAGCTTTACAGGAGAAAACAGAACCAGACTGGGACAAAGGTGTGTCAAGAAAATGTGCAAGTGGGTCAAATCCCTGGGACCACTGCACAGACAAAAAGCCTGACTAGGCCCCAAAGTGTGCACTGCAGGCTGAGGTGCGCCTGCCAGGCGATGGTGTTTACCTGGTCCCTGCCTCCTACCCTGACCTCACCTCCCTCTATTGTCCCCTGCAGTCCCCTTTATGTCTCCTGGAACAGGCCAAGTTCATTCCTGCCCCAGGGCCTTTGCACCTGCAGCTCTCTCTGCCCGAAATGCTCTGCCCTCAGCTCTGTATGTGATGCCCCATGTTGTCATTCAGGTCCCATGTCACCCCTTCACAGGGTCTTCCCTTACCACCCAATCCAAACTAGACACCCTCCATCACTCCAGCAGGTCGCGCCAGCTGAGTCCCTTCATGGTACAGTCTGACTTTCTCTTCGCCACCTGCTTGCACAGCGTTTCCTTCCTCCCCCACTAGAACATGACATCTGTGAGAGCAGGAGCATGTCTCACTGTTCCTTGCTGTCTCCCAGTGACCAGGACCATGCCTGGCCCAGAACAGATCCCAATCCATTTTTTTCTTGACTGATTGAATATAAAAATGACCTTTCTCTCCAAAGCAATACCCCCTGCCTTTTTAAATAATATAAACTGAACACATAGTCCAGAAAATAAAAAGACCCAAGGAGAAAAAGAAAGGCTTTGCAGTGGCTGTTAATGCTAAAGGTAATAGACACAGAAGCCCAAAGCCTCGTACAGCCTGGGCTCCAGCTAATGGGTTCCATCATTCTCCCTTAAGCTTTCAAGTTATAAATATTTCAAAACTCAGTGGGGTGGGTTCCCCATTCATCTTTTAGAAAAAACAACAAAAGGCTAATTCTTTCTTGAAATCCAAACCTCAAATGAATTTGGAACTCGATTGTTGAAAACTCTAAATAGAAAGGAGCGGTGACTCCATTTAGTGTTCTATTATTTGTAACCAGGAAATAACAGAATGTAACTTGTGACTGTCAATTTCCTCTAACAACATGTAGCTATCTTACCAGATGCTTTTTGTAGGCGATACTATAACCCATTTAAACACATTTCCTCAGTTCCCTTATTGCATTTTGGAGAAGCTACACAGGGAAGGAGAAGATTTTTTAATTGATATAAACTTATTTTTGGACTGTGAGTAGAAAGATAGATATTGGAGGGCAACATAGAAATCTGTGTAAAGTTTCTGATTCTGAGTAATTTCTATGTTTTAGGATGTAACACAGTAAGTACCAGCGTGGCATGTGTGTGTGTGAGTGAACGCACAAGAACATACACACTCACGTGTGCCACTGCTATATTATGGTCATTGAGGGCATTGATAAATCTGAAAAATCGCCCCTTAATGGCACAGCACACTGTCAGGCACATAGTACGTGTTCAATAAATGCTTGCTGGACTAATTAACTCATGTCTAAATAAGGAACTTACCCAGTGACACTTGATTTTGCATCTTGAAACCTGACCTAGAATTGCAATCTCTGAATGGGAAAAGTTTAAGTATCTCATACCAAGTACACTTGGTACATACGTCTAAGGTGGCAGATGACACTGGGTCCCTGCCTTCCATGTTTTCCAGGCCTGACTTCCAAATGCCAGTACCTAGACGTCTTTGCCTGAGAGCTTTCTTGGCCACCTAGAGCACACCTCCCACTGACTGCCAGGAGTTGGTGGATTAATACCCCAGCTCCCTCACCCCTCAGGAAGGCTGACTGAGGCGCATGATCTACGCTGTCTCCCAGAGTCCTTCAGTGGCCCTCAGCAGGAGCTGATTTGGTAGCACACACCTTATTGGTGGCCTTCTCTTCCCTGCCTTCCCCAGTCTCCTGCTTGTGCATCCTAAATTCATATTCCAGTGAAACCTCACATTCTCTGCTTTGGGATTTGCTTCTGGGGGAATCCACACTAAAACAGACGCTTTTAATCATTTCCTCTCTAACAAAACACTTATCCACATAAGCCTGCACTCGTGCTTGAAACGGAACGAGGATGAGCCAGCGTCATCAACCAGCATGTTTCTGTGTGAAATCCAGACGCATCTGAGTCTCTAATGAAACGTACGAACCAGGATGAAGAACACGTCTCTTTCCTAAATGAGGACGGTTTGCGGCCATTTAACACAGCATCCTTGTTCTCTGTGAAGCTGACCCACCTACCTTCCCAAGGTCCCTATTAATTAGACAAAGGATGTGCAAGCAAAGAAAACGTTTTAATGAAGGCTTCATTGGCAATGCCGGATGGGTCAACTATGGTCTAATCCAAACAGGAACCCTCACCCTTTCATCATTTGCTCTAAATTATCAAAGCATTACCCCTACAGTGGCCCCAAAAACATTTTCTCCATTAAGCCTGGGCATTTTAAGAGCTCTTCTCTCCCGATTGCTTCTTGTCTGACTTGGTCTTTCCAATCACGGTCTCCACGATCACAGCAGTTTCTTCATACGTCTGAATGCTCTCCGTGGAAATCTTCTCGATAGATTCTACCACTTCCACTGTCTTATAGGCCAAAGCCCTGGGAGGGCCTGTAGGCTGGGGTATAGACGGTTCCTCTGCACCAGGTGTGACCTCGGGACAGGGTCTCCCGGACCCGTCATCCTGCTCCTCACCCTCGCGTTTCTCCTCTGGGCCTTCCAGCTCTGTACCATCTGGCTCAATCTCCTTGCCTACGGGCTGCTGGCCAGCTGGCTGTCCGTCTTCTTTCTCCTGCAGACCCACCTGCCCATTCTCTAACGGGGGCTTGGGTGACTCGGGAGAAGGCTCCACCTGGCCTTCATAAAGCACAGACTCTTCCTCGATGGAAACAGCCACCCCACCTTTGGCTGCGATGGAGGAGACACAGAACCCAGGGTCCACGTAACTGGCATCCCCGGTGACCAGCACGTGCCGCTCTTTGGTGTAGGGCTCAGTGGGGGTCTCGGGCTCCTTGGGGGATTTCACTTTCTCCTTGACCATCCTGTACATTTTCCCAAAGCCTTTGCTTATCTGCGCTCCATCTGGCACATCCTCCGGAACCCCTTGTTGTGTCAGGGGAGTTGCTTCTTTACTTTCTGATTCAAACTTAGGTTCGCTTTCCTCTTTAAGTACCACCTGGACCAGCTTTGTGTCTTCCAGACCTTTTAATGGTGCATCTTCCAGAGTTCCGTTGCTTTTGTCTTTGGCTATAATCTCCTTTCTCCTTGGAACGTTCTTGGGGAGGCCTTTTTGTCTTGGTTTTGCTGCTGTTATATCCTGCAGAGCCCTCGTAAGATCTGGAAAAACACACAGGCAGAAAGTCAAGCATAATTGTCATTGAGAGAGAAAGAAAAGGCACTGGTTAGAAATAAACGCCTATAGTACTAGGGTGGGCTTCCCTCATATGGAGCAGAAGCAATGGAAGAAAGGCCTTGGCTTTGCTGCTTCGTGGCCCAGGCTGAGGTCCAGCTCTGCATACCAGCTGGGCAACCCTGGACAAGACACTGGATGCCTTTGGGCTTCCAGAGAGAAGGTGCTCCCTGTTCTGACACCCACAGTTCACCAGCACACGGGCAGAACCTAGCAAGGCATGCTAGCCATTGTCCTGACGTTCACTGGGAGCCCTCACCCCTGTTTCCACTGCAGCCCCGCTGAGCTCACAGCAGACACTTGCATCCACAGAAGCCCATTCCTCAAAGTTATTCTCTCCTCTGACTTCCTCAAAGATGGCAGAGCTACCTGGGGGCTTCTGACATGCACAGATGGCCTTGGGCCTGGGTTTGGAACCCGTCCACGGTGGATCTACCTCATTCCATATTTAGATCAAGCTTGATAAATCCCACCCGCCTGTGACCAGACTCCCCTTCCTCCCAGGCCAAGGGCAGAAGTGATACTATGAAATTCAGAAATTCTGGACAGTAGTACCTGTCCCCGAGTGCATTCTCCTGCTGCCAGACTAGCTCAAAGAAAACACTAAAAGTTGAAGAAAACATCTGAAAATCTCACCTGGCATAATCTGTGAGGCTTCCCAGCTCCACCCACAGAGTGAATTTTGAACTTTTTCAGCCCCAAAGTCATCCCCTGCATCCCTTGCCACTGGTAACCACCAGGCAAGACAGACCAAGCATGGGCATCAAGCACGGCTGACTCACGATGCAGAGAGCCAGGTGAGCAACAGCAGACCCGGGTCACAAAGCCACAGGAGCAGGGAATGCAGAGGGGGACGGGGCACAGGAAAACTGCTGGGAGCTGCTGTGGGAGGAGGAGGTGCTTACAGGACTGCACAGAATCTCAGGGCCTGGTGCCAAAAAAACCCACAAGAGCCCTGCTTCCAAATTATTAAGAATTTCAAAACAGCATTAGCAGAGCAGAAAGCCAAGCTGGGACCTTTCTGAGAGCGAGCTCTTTGCAGGGCTGCGTGCCTGCAGAACTGGCCTTGGGCATCCAGCCGTTGGGCCGCTCCCTTTCAACCACGTTGACTCTGGAAAACCATTTCCACAAAGTCCTCTGAGCGGTCTGGGAAATAAGAATTTCAAGGCCCTGTAGGCATGAGTATCCACATTATCACCTTCTCTTATTCTCCCTAAACGCTGGGCTTGTTCAGAACTGGGAGATTTCGATGTGAGGTGAGGTCTCACAGATCAAACGTTGAAGGCAGAGTCCACATTTGCCAGCCAAGCTGTTCCTCCCTGGTTTGAGGGAGGGGAGAATGAGCAATGACCAAGCAGCTACTCTGCACTGGACACCATGTTGCACGTGTTGGCACAAACCCACTGATTGATCGTGGGGAGCTGGTGGGATGTAATCCAATGTTCACTTACTGCCAAAGTGAGGAACAAGAAGTGAATACTGAGTTGTACTTTTCCCCCCATCAAATCCTTGCGTTGCAAAAGTTATTGCTGTCAAAACATAAAACAAATACTTAAGTACAAAATAAATGCCTCACATTAGGGTTGGCATGCCCAAGGTAGCCTAGCGCCCCCGTCGATTTTTCGCCTTATAAACTTCTCAGCTCAGTCACTTAACAAGCCAGAGAGGGCAGAGAGTGGGAAGGAGTCCTCCCTCACATAAAAGCATTTTATCTCCAGATGGATCAGAAGCAAGCATGAATGTTAAAGTCAGGAAGAAAGCCGCCTGGTTTTTTCAAGACAGAAAAAAAACAGAAGCCTAGAGTTGGGGAGCGTTACCTTTCCCACTGGGTCCAGTGCTGAGAGAGACTCCATGGCTCGGGGTGAACAGGGGAATTGGAGTTTCATTGAAGGCAGAGCTCAGCCTGGCAGAAAGAACCAGAAAAAAACAAGCCAAACAGATGGTCGGGAGCAAGAGCGACTCTCGCTAATGTGGAGCAAAATGAAAAAAAAAAAAAAAACCTTTCTCTGGACCAAACTGCTCATGAATTAGATATCATTCTAAACAGGCAGCCATATACACGTTTACAAACTGGATGAGGACATAAAGGAAACAAGCATTTCTTTGAGCTCAAGTCATAAACTGTGAAACATACCTATAAAAAATTATAAAGTGGGGATTGCTTATAATCTAAAAACGCCACTTCTCCATTAGACAGTATTTTTCTTTTGCCTTTTTGATTTTTTTAATTAGAGTGTCCGACCCAGGGTGAAGTATTTAGAGCAAATAGGGCATGATATCTCCAACTTATTTGTATATATATATACGTGTGTGTGTGTGTGTGTGTGTGTGTGTGTGTGTGTGTGTAAATAGAGAAAAAAATGATAAAGCAATTGAGGTAAAATATAAACAATTGGTGAATCTGGAGTATTCAGGGGTTTCTTGTTCTATTCTTGCAACATTTCTATCCATTTAAATTTAGACCAAAATCAGAACTTGTAGACAAATAAAAGAGGAAACCAGCCACCATTCTGTGAAGCCCTGTCCCTAAAACAAAAATACTTACAAAATCATTTAAATGCCAGTTCCAGACTTATTCTTGTAGATGTATGCATAAAGTATGCACTGTGACATAAATGTAATTTGGAATCATGCCAGATACACTGACCAGCACTGGAGAAAGAAAAATGCAATCCTGCTTTCCTGCCAAGCATTTGGGTGCTCACAGTCCAGACAGAGCACCCAGGGCGAAGGGAGGAGGTGGGGACCTCAGCTGTGGGGTTTCTCTTTTCATTCAGTCTAAACCCAGGAACTTAGCAAGACTGAAGTGAAGAATCACAAATTAATTCCCAACCTGTTCCCTGGAAAATCACTGCAGTGCACCTAAGAATACGGAAGTAACTGGAAAGAGAGAGAGAGCATTTTCCAGCTGTCTTAAAGTGACTAGGGATCGAGTCACAGCTCCACTATGGAGGAGACCAGACAGCCAAGTACTGACAGCCACAGACTGACCCAGCGAGGTGCTAAGAATCATGAGGGTGGCAGCAGGAGCACCATTAACACCTCTGAGTGCCCTTGAGTGCCAGGCTCTGTGCCAGGCAACTCACCTGCAGCACCTCATTAAATACTCCTGGGCATCCCATCTGCTGGGACACTTATGTCCTCAGAGACCTATGGGCAAAACACAGACTTCTCAGTGAGGGCTTTTCTGACCACCCTACTTAAAATTGCAAGCATTTCCCCATCACCCGTTGCCACCACTCTCCTCCCTGCTAGAAATTCCTCCTTAGCACTGGTCGTACCTTCATCCTCTGTCTCCCCTATTACTTTTCCAGCACCCATGGGGTCAGGAATTTGTGTGTTTCTTTCCATGCCACATGTCCAGTGCCTAGAACTGTGCCTGGCACACAATAGGCACTCAACAAAGAGTTGTGGAAGGAAGAAGTGGCCGGGGCAGGGAAGACACACTCTCACCTGTTGCCTTCAATCTCGATGATACGATGGTACCGGTCCAGCTCATTCTTCAGGGTTTGCTGGGCGACCGCCAGCTGCCGGCAGTCGTAAGAAGATTTCTCCAGGACCCGCTCCGTCTCCTCAATCTCCTTGCGCAGTGTCTCAATCTGCTCGTTATAAAGCTGAATCTCATCGTCATAACACTCGTGGGCACTTTTAATAGCTTGTTCCAGAGTTGTTGTCTGCGGGCAAGGACACGCTGTAAGAAAATCCATCCCCCTTCTCCCCTAAGAGACAGACCTCACCAGGAAAAGGAACCTGGACTCGGTGAATGTTTTATTTTGTTTGTGTGTTTCTCTGTCCATTAGAGATTAGCAATGAATCACGTTGGAATCCTTAAGCTAAAAAGCAATATGAAAACTAAGCTTCTATGTCCTTGAACAATTTTTTTTTTTTAATGGCGGATCCCACCTTGCCACGAGGCAGGGGTGCTATCACAGCTCACTGCATCCTTAACGTCCCAGGCTAAAGTGATCCTTCCACCTCAGCCTCCTGAGTATGTGCTGGGACTACAGGCAAGCACCAACGTGCTGGGTTTTTGGTTTTGTTTTTTGTTTTTTTGGTGGTGGGGGTAGAGATAGGATCCCGCTTTGTTGCCCAGTCTGGTTTCGAACTCCTGGCTTCAAGTGATCCTCCCATCTCGGCCTCCCAAAGTGCTGGAATTACAGGTGTGAGCCACCACACCCAGCCCGTCTTGCACTTATGTTAGCACCCTGTGTAATTAACCCAAAAAGAGGCCTGCCCCAAAGGCAGTCTGAAGACAAACCTAGAAAATAAAACAAAATCTAGGCCACGGGGCTCACCCTGTGTAATCCCAGAACTTTGGGAGGTCAAGGCCAGTAGATCACTTGAGGACAGGAGTTTGAGACCAGGCTGGCCAACATAGTGAAAGCCATCTTTAACTAAAAATACAAAAGTTAGCCGTGTGTGGTGGCACACTCCGTAGTCCCAGCTACTCGGGAGGCTAAGGCAGGAGAATCATTTGAACCTGGGAGGCAGAGGTTGCAGTGAGTCAAGACTGCGCCACTGCACTATCGCCTGGGCAACAAAGCAAGACTCTGTCTTAAAAAAAAAAAAAAAAAAAAAAAAAAAAAAAAAAACCTGTTATCCATGGAATAAGATACATAATTCAAACAAAGTACATTCTTCAGACTTTAATGAATTAGCATAAATCTGATAGCCAAAAAATAAGTAAAAAGAAGAGCATACTGAATAGATAAGATGGTACTTTTATTAAAATACTGAGTGGGAGAAAAGTTTCCTTGTTCTCATTAGTCACTATGGTGCTTTGATTTTCTCCCGAGTTTGGATTGGCGGAATTATGTTTATGTTTTGGTAGTTAAGGTGTGTGAGTGTCTGCACGTGTGTACATGTAAAATAATGTCAGAGAAATATGTGAATCAGAGCAACTAAAAATTAGGCAGTAAAATAGAAAGAGGTAGTTTTATATTCTGTGTAAGAGTTTGTGATGATACATAAAGACCTGTAAATGCTCAGTCATGTGCCACCTAACAGTACCTCAGTCGACAATGGTCTGCGTATGGGATGGTGGTCCCATAAGAGTATAATGGAGCTGAGCAATTCCTGTCACCTAGTAACAACCACAGCCATCCTAGGGCAGTGGAGACACACATCACTCACATTATCTGTGGGGACGCCAGCGTAAACAAACAGACTGTGCTGCCAGCTGCATCATGAAAATGTGGAGGCTGGGTGTGGAGGCTGACACCTGTAATCCCAGCACTTTGGGAGGCTGAGGCAGGCAGATCACGAGGTCAAGAGATTGGGACCGTCCTGGCCAATATGGTGAAACCCAGTCTCTACTAAAAATACAAAATTAGCTGGATGTGGTGGCACATGCCTGTAGTCCCAGATACTCAGGAGTGTGAGGCAGGAGAATCACCTGAACCTAGGAAGTGGAGGTTGCGGTGAGCTGAGATCACGCCACTGCACTCCAGCCTGGAGACAGAGCGAGACTCCGTCTCAAAAAAAAAAAAAAAAAAAAAAAAAGGCTAGCACATGCAATTATGTACAACACATAATACTTGACAATGATAATAAACTGCTGTGTTTACTGGTTTACATATTCACTATACGACACTTTTTCTCATTATTTTGGCATGTAGTCCTACTTACAACAAAATGTTTATGGTAAGACAGTGACACCGCATTACCCCCGCCGCAGCCTCCTGCAGCTCACGTTCCCCACATATTTTGATTGCAATATGTTCTCTTGTGCTTGATCAAATGTTATTATAAAAGAGTCAAGAAAGCT